GCGGCGGCTGCAGTAGCCTTAGCGGGTGGCCAGGCGGGCAGGCTGCTCGGAGGATCCCCCATCCACGGATCGCCCCATGCATACGCGGCTGGCATTGGTGGGCCCCTTCGCAGCAGGTCGACACTGCGGTACCCGGAGCGTCGATGGTGTCCGCCGACGTTGAGGGTTACTGTGACGGGATGCCTCGCCTGAGTGTGGCCGCCGGATACAGCCCGCGTTTGTCGCCTCGTCGCCCCCAGGCCTTCCCCGGCGGTGCCGGCTCGTCCGTCGGTTGCTGCCGGCCCCCCCAACTCTGCGGTGGAGTTTGATGGCTGCGCGCTGACTAGTGGTTCAGCCTTCAGCGCCAACGGCCCTTATTTTCCGCCGCCATCATCCCGTCACCCGGGCTCGTGCATCGCTGTCATCCTGGGAAGTTGCTCGGAGCTTGGCGCCGCAAGGGCGACTCACTCCGTTGCAGCAGCACTCGCACTCGTGGCCGCTTGTGCACTTTGGTTTACTGGGCGGCGCCTAGGTGCGACTGCTTGTGAATTGGCGCATTTTGTCCAGTGCCCCTGCACCGCGCGCTTCGTGCAATTAGCTGTGCACCGCCGTCCCGGACATCGCCTGTTGCCGCCAGACCGTTGTCGAGCGGCCGCCGACCAACAAAAAAATATCCCCGCAAGCACTGAGCGCTGAGTGGTTCAGCCTTCCGCGCTCGCGTGGCCTAGTGCTTTCCACCGCGCTCTGCCCGGCTTCCCCGGTCAGTTGCTCGGCGTGGGCCGGTGGCCTGGGGTTTGGCGCTGTACCGGCGATTCATTCCGCTGCATTCGCACACCCTGCCGCTTGTCCACTTCGGTTCACTCTGCGGCGCCTTTGCGCGTTTGCTTGGGAATTCAGTTCATTTTGTTCTGTGCATGTGCAACTGCGCACATGCTGGCATGTGCGAACTGGCTTGCCAGCGTGGCGGCTTCGTTTGCAAATTCGCATCGTGCCGCATCCCGGACGCCGCTTCCGCTCCCTGACCTTTGCCTCGGAGCTGCCGACCAAAAAAAAGTATCCCCGCCAGCCTCGCCCGTCGCTCTGTTTGTTGTTGTTCCCGCGTTTCCCTTGCCTAATTAGTCTCTGCGTAGCCCGCTTTGACCTGACACGCCGCCGGCGCGCTCGCCCGCGGCCGCTGAAACAAAACAAAAAAAGTACCCCACGCCCCTGGTCCAGGTGCGCGCCGAGCTCGGTCCCAGCTGCGATGGCCCCCGGCGCCGGCGGCCTCCCCGGCGCCGGACTGCGGCGGCGCCAGCGCGTGGCCGCCGCCGCCCGCGACGGGCCGCCCAGCCTGGGCCGGCCCCTTGCTGCTGCTGCTGCTCCAGCCGCTGCCGCCCCCCTCGCGGAGGGTGGCGCGCGCGCGGCGGCGGGCCGCGGCGGCGGCCGCCCCTGCCGCTGCTGACGCTGCTGCCACTGCCGCCCCCAAAAGGAAGCCGGCGGCCGAGCGGCGGCGGCTGGCGGCGGCCCCGCCGCCTGCGCTGCCGGCGCGACGGACGTTGCTTTCTTGGCGTCGCGGTTGCCGCCGCCAGCGCCGCCGGCGCCGCTCGCGGCCGCGGTTTGCCACCGCGGCGCGCCCCCCCTTGTCCAGGCGCGCCGCTGCTCGGCACAGAGGAGCGCCCCTGGGCCCCCTCTCTTCGGCTTGCCCGCCTTGCCGCCCCTGGCATCGCCCCGCCCCCCCCCTCCTCCTTGCTCCCCGGGCGGGATCCGACGCCTCAGTCGCCCTGCCGAGTTTTGGCGATCCAGACTTCCGTCTGTCGAGCGCCTGCATGCAAGCTGGCCGTCTTATTGGTGTCGACGCGCGGCTGGCTGCCTTCAGTCTGCTTACGACGAGCCTGTCCCACGACGCGAACTGCTGTTCGGTCGTCGCCACCCGCTCGTTTCGCCGCCACCCACAGTGGCTGCTTCCGACGCGCAGAAAGCTTGCTCACCTTGCAGGAATGCGGAGCCTTTGCGGCGCTCAGCCCCCCGCGTTCTGCCCCTCGGACATGCGCAGGCGCTTGCGGCTTCCATTATTTCCCGCGGGGTGATCCCACGCCGCACTCTCCACGGGGCGCCACTTCGCAGCAGTGAGCACCTGGGGGCCTGGGACGGTCGCGGATCTTGCGGCGGGGTATCAGCTTGGAGTCTCGCCAGAGCAGCGCGCGCATAATCTGACAGTTGCATTGTTTTCTGTAGCTTGTTTTCCAAACGAAAAAAAAACAGCACATTAGGCATCCGATTGTTGCAGCGTTTGTTTGAAGCGTGTTTGATTAAATTTTACAAAAAGGCCAGTCGTCGGTCGCATCTGGATTCGGTTGCGCGGGCTCGACGGGCGACGAAGGACCTGGCGGCCCGCCAGGTCCTTCATCCATTGCACATGCGGCCCAGGGCCATTGCGGTGGCCAGCGAGCCCGCTTCGCAAGCGCGGGGCAAGGAGCCCAGTGGCCGCCGCTCGCACCCGCCCCTCCCGCGCCCCGTCTCTGGACGCTGATGCATGCATTCTCGTTTCCTTAAAGCATATTTGTTTTGCTTTCCAGGGCCACTCATCGTATTGTTATGTGTTATCTCTGGGCCCTTTGCAGGATCTGCATATTTCCCATTGGCTCTCCCGCGGAACCCTCGCCTGTTCTCTTTCGCCAACCGAATGCTCATTACTTCGATTTCGTTGACCCCGCCCTGATCTGTATATGTCCTGCGTGGGCGTGGTGCTGACTCCCCGTCCTATCGATCAGCGCCCACTGCTAAACTTCTGATTGCCTCGCCCAGGGGGCCAGTGCACTGCGACGCGGGAAGCGCCGTCAGAGCAGCTCCTGGCGTCGCGGCAAATTGCTTGTCGAGGCAAGCGCGCCGCGCAAATTGATTTGACATATGCCTTCAAACTGCCTCGCGCGGACAGCAGTGCCTCCTTTCTCGCGGGAAAAATGCAGACCCCCCGGGACTTACAAACACTGCCAGCGAATTACCCGCCACATTGGCGTGCACCCCCCGTCGGATGTTAGCTGCCGATGGCACTCCCGTCCGTGAGCGCCGCGCGGCCCGCCCCGGCTAGTCTCCCCTCCCGCTGCTGTCTTGTTGTCTCTCTTTATTCCCTCTTGGTGCAATTTAGGTTCCTGCTTGTTAGCTGTAGCTTCGGACGGCGGGCGGCCCTTCCGTTTGCGTTCGCGAACAAAAAGTACCCCCACCAGCCCACCCAGAAACGACCAGCAGGGGAGCTTGTAAGCCAGAGGCGGCTGGAAACATGCAGTTGCGCGGCCGCCTTCAGAAAAACAATGATCCCACATAGCTTCCCGCATTGAAGCTTAATATGGAAACCAGTGCAAGATACGACGTGGTGCCCCCCGTGGTAAGCGTCTCTCGCGCAGGCCATGAGAAGCAAGGATCACACATAATTTCGCGCAGCGAAGTTGAAAATGGAAGCCGGTGCAAAATACTCGGGGGTGTTCCCTGTGCTAGGCGTGTCTGTCGCAGCGGACCCCGTCGTAGAATCGAGTTTTATATTCTTAACCCTCTGGGGCTCTCTTGGGGGTCTCTTGGGGCTCTCTTGAGGCTCTCTTGGGGCTCTTTTGGGGAGTCGTGAGGCCCTCTTGGGGCTCTTCTGGGGGTCTGGGAGGCCTCTTGGGGCCGTCCTGGACCCCTTCGCGTGCAAAAGATGGCGTCGTAAATTTCCCCCCCCTCGGAGGCCCAAAAGAGGCGTCTTGGCGCCCTCTTGGGCCGCTCTTGGGGCGGTCTTTGGCGCTCTTGGGGCCGTCTTTGGGCCCTCTCGGGCCCCATCCTTGGGGCTATGTTGGGCCATTTTGGGGCCATTTGGACGTCTTCAGAGCCCATCGGAAACGAAAGCGCGAAAAAGGCAACACACACACATATTGATGTTCCTTTAAAACATTGATATCCTTTGGATGTTGAGCCCATTTTGGCCTCTTGGGGGGATTCTTGGAGGGCTCGGAGGGCACTTGAAACCGTCTTGGGGCCGTCTTGAGGCCTCTTGGATGCGTGTTGGAAGCTGTCGTGAGCCGTCTTGAGGTAAGGAGGTTAGACAAGGAAACGCTCTAGACCACCTGCGCCCAGAGGGCTGGTGGGACTAGGCCTCCCAGACAGGGTCGGAGAGGATGGGGTCGGAGAGGATGGGGTCGCACCGCATCGCCGATGCATCGCCGATGCGGATCGATGTGGAACCCGATTTGCTCACGTCGACGTCGCCGATGCACCGCCCACGTCGACGGTGAATCGACGGTGCATCGCCGATGCATCGGCGATGCATTGGCGATGGCGGGCGCGATCCTCCGACTCCACCTGCTCGGACCACAGCTAGGGGGCCTCTGGTCATGCATCCCACGCACGACTTGCCGGCACACATCGTTTATTATCCCCCCTCGGCCCCGAACTTTCTCATCCCCCCCCCGTGCGATTGCCTGGGGCACGGGGCTGCGCCCATCCTGGCCAGGTTGATCTGGAGACCTCCCTCGCCGAGCCAGGGCAGGGCGTGGTGCGCCGATCTCGGCCCCCCCCGTGGCCAGGATCGGTGCAGGTCATGTAGATCGTCAGTGTCCTGCGGACATCCGCAGGCCTCGGGGCTGCGCTTCCGGGCTGGGATCTCTGGAGGGCCGCCGCTCGGAGGCGGAGCGGGCACCCACACCGCTGCCCTTCGCCCGTTCTCCCCATGTTTGGGGCCTCCTGGGAGGCCCTCGTCGCCACCGCCGGAGTCGCCTCGAGATGCTGGTCAGAACGCGCACCTTTTGGTGTCCCCCGTTTCTGGTCCCCAGACGCCGCCGAAAGCAGTCGTTGTCCTCCTCCCAATCGGCATCGTGTTCCTCCGTCCACTCCCGCTTCGGTTCCTCATCCCTCCATCGCTCCTCTTGCTTCCTCCTGGTCCGCATCCTCCCCCTCTTTTTTTCCTTGCTTCTCCTCCGCCTCCCCATCATCCTCCACACACGGCCTATTGATACCTCCTCCCACTCGTCTTCCTCCGCCCTTCCTGCCCCAGCATCCGTGGTGTCTGCGCCCAGGTGAAAATGCACAAGGGTGCCAGGCTCGGCATCAACCAGCGCGAATTCCTTCTTGTTGCGCGCAAGGTGCTCTGCCCTCTCGAAATTGACGAGCTGGAGATGGATTCAACACTTGTATGTAATGCTTTCAGGGTAGCGTTGGCCGAACTCGCCCAGTTCTTCTCCAAACGGCTGCAGAGCACATGCAGTATTTCCAGTTGTCTCGGAAGAGGTAGTTTGACACTGTGGTATCCAAAGACTCTCCGGCGATGTTCGTACTCGCTCACACGCCAGGGATATCGAGTCAGGTCAGCAGGCTTTCGTCTTCGTGTCGAGACTTGTCCATGTTCAATCCAGCGATCCGACAGCTCGACTAGCCACAGTAGGTCCGAATGCAAGGTCGGTGTGACGCCTCCAAACTTTCTGAGGCACGCGAGCTCTGGCCCCGGGGCCCCAGGGTCTCCCCCACCCCCCAGGGCACGCAGAGTACACCACGTGCCCCCCTATGCCCCCGGGCCTCCTCGGGCCCTTCGCGGGCCTCTCGAGACAGCCCACCCCAGGGGTCCTGGGGGTACAGCGGCAAAGTGGACCCCAAGAGGGACCAGGGACGGGTCGGACGTCCCCAGCAGCGCTCAAGACGCCCCCAAACGGTTGCCCAGCAGCCCCCCAGAATGGGCCAGTGGGGCTTCCGTAGCCACGTCGGCTCAAGCCGCAGATGCCTCGGCCCCATGGTGGCGCCAATTGCGCTGCGGAGCCGCTCGCGGGCGCCGTCCCAGCAAGCCCGCGCTTCGGCGCGCCGGCGCGCAGCCACCGTGACGGGGGGCGTGGCCGGCGCGCTCGGCGCGCCGGGTGCGGCCGTGAGCTGGCGGCGGCGGAGAGGCCAGCTGCATGGAGTCCTATGTGGTCGGCTTTAAGATATTCGACGGTAGGGCCCTGTTGACAGAAGATGGGGACCCGTGCGACCCTTTCGTAGTGGTTTCCTGCGGCGAGAAGAGGTGGCAGTCCGCCACGCTGGAGAACAGGGGGCCTTTTGTGCCGTGGAACGACGGCCTCATTTGGCCCTCCATTGACATGTACCCCAAGGAGTTCGACTCCGAGAGCATCGAGTTCAAGGTGTATGCGAAGAACTGGTTCACGCGCAACTATCTCATCGGAGAGGCCTCGCTCCAGCTCTCTTTTGTAAACCTTCGGCGGCATCACCTGTACGCCAGGAGGTGGTTGCAGTTGAGAAGAGAGCACGGCACGGATGTCACCGGAACGCTCAACGTTTCTGTGTACGTCTTGAGGCCGGGCCAGATGGCGCCTTCGCAGACGCAGCTCAGCAACCCTGAGGTGGAGGACAACGACGACGCCGAGCCGGACGTGGAGGACCTGACAGACCTCAAGACGGCGGTGCTCGGCAACAGCGTCGAGGTGCCGGTTGGCAAGTCGTCTTATGTTAAGCTCGACATTCACCGCGTTGACGAGCTGAGGAACATGCCCGCAGCTTTGCCCTTCCCGGGCGGGAGTCCGAGCCCGTACGTCACGGTGGAGTTCGCGGGCGCTCTCTTGTACACCGACGTGGCGCCGAACGTCAACGAGTACACATTCAACTCCCGTATGCAAATCCCCGTCGTGACGCCCCTGTACGAGGACACCATCCTCATCAAGCTGTGGACCCGTAATTGGCTGTCGTCTGATGAGCTGCTCGCCCAGGGTCTCATCTCGTTCACCGAGCTGAGGAACGTGGGACTGGAGCCTCGGTGGTTCTCCCTCTACGGCTGGAATCTCGAGGAGATCCCAGACTTGGACGCAATCTCCGCTTCGGGAGTTCGAAGAAGAAAAAACGCTGGACACATCAACTTTTGGCGCCCCGCGCGGATTTCTTGGATACGCGCCGGGGCCCCCTGTCGACGCCTCTGGCGCCGCCCCTGGCTCGCTCCTCGCGCCAGGGATGCGGGTCCAGCGCAGATCCAAGAAACCCGAGCGGAGCGTCAAAAGTTTATGTTTATGGCGTTTTTCTTTTTCTAGGAGTTAGAGTCGATCCGAACTACTTCGTGGGCAGGCTGCTGCTGTCCGGGCGGGTGGAGAGAACCGACGAGGACGAAGAGTTAGAGCCAGCAAAGGTAGGCGCCGCAACGACGATTGCGGAGCCCCCCACGGAGCAGGTCGTGTTGCTGGCCGACGTATACATGGTTGTCGGCGTCGCTGGGCGCAGGTGCAGGGTGGAGATTAGTTACGGACTGACGTCAGTAACCACAGCACCGGTGGATTTCCAGGACCATCACCCGAGTGACAAGACAAAGATGGCCCAGATAGAGAAGCTCCAGAAGGACCAGCCCCAAGAGGAGGAGGACTTCTTCGACCCGGGCGACTCGGAGGAGGTGAATGTTTTCCGGTTTGACGAGAAAACCGGCAGAGTTAATCCTCTGGTCGCCATTATCCCGACTGATCCCAAGTCGCAGGCCATGGTAATGGTGAGCGTCTACGCCGAGGGCTTCATGCAGGCGGAGCAGCGGGTCGGCGTGCAGCTGTTCAGGCTGAGCGACTTCCAGGCGTACGACTACGGCCGCCCACCCGAACCGAGGTTCCTGTCCCTGAACCCGATGCCGAACCAGGCGAGCAGCCTTACACAACCTTCGGTGTTGATGTCTCTGGAGACGCACAACACAGACACCGTGCAGAGACCGCAGAGGAAGGCGTTCAAGCCGATGATTTACTTGGTGCGCGCGTACTGCTTCATGGCGCGCAACATCGTATGGGACGGCAGTGCCCAGAGTTCCACACCAGAGGAGTTCGTGTTGCGAGTATCGTGCAGCGGCATATCCAAGACCACGCCCAAGAAGAAGGCTGGCCCACGGCCGTTGTGGATGGAACCTGTGGACTTGAAGATTATCCTGCTGTCTCACTCCACAAAGGAGAAGCCACGCATGGAGCCGATCACAGTGCACCTTGCTAAGAGCAGCTCGTTCATCACAACCGACATTGGCAAGGCTGTGTGTCAGTACAACGACATGCGGAAGCAGGATAGCGTTGGAGCGTGGCTCGAGTACGAGCTCCGCCCTCAGTGGATCAACGTCTACGGTGGCAAGTACAACAGGATGCCCGTGGGCGAGGTTCTCGTCGCGTTCGAGATGATGCTATGGAAGAACCATGACGATCTCAAGTTACAGCCCAAGAGCATGTGGCCTTGTGTAAAGCTCGATGATCGAGAAGCTCGACTTCGACGATCGGGATCGTTCGATGATGACGGCAGCAGCACGGAGGGCTTCGGCCAGCTGAAGAAGGCCACGTTGCATTTCTCCCTGTTCGGGCTGCGAGACCTGGTGCAGCTGCCCAGGATCGAGACGGTGGGCACCCTCGCGGGAAGCGTGCACGTATCCAACCCGTTGGTTCAGGTTAAAGTCGAAAGTTTCTTGCCGGAGCCGCTCGAAGGATGCCCTGACAAAATCGAGTTTGAGTTCAAAAAGGTTGTCAGAAACGGCGACGCAAGGAAGAAGGCAGACCAGATGAAGTCGTGGACATCCAACATCGGGCACGATGGCGCCACCGAGGCCATGAATTTCGAGATGCTGCAAGTGCAGAAGGTCAAGTGCTTAATTCCCGAGAATGGACTCTTAGAATCTTACATCACTGTGAGCGTGTTCGAGGAGCCACCAAAGGGCAGTTGGTTCTCGGGCCGAACGTTGATCGGCGATGCGCGGATCAGTCTCGCGAGGGTTATTCCGTGTTGTTGGTTAGACGGCGTTGATCTGAGCGAGTCTTTCAAGGATCAGGAGAAGCTCATCAGGAAGCAGTTGGATTTGAACGAGCAGCAGAATGTTGCGCAGAAGGGATGGCAGAAGGACAAAGCATCGGTAGACCCTGTCAAGCTTCAAAAGAGAGGAGGCGACGACAATGCAGGCACCCCGAGGAGCTTGGTGCACCAAGACGAAGAGCAAGAGGAGTTTCTGGACGACACAGGGTTGCCCATCCAGCTGCGTGGAGGCAGGGACGGTGGCCACAAGTGCGCTCGCGACGAGAGCAAGCACCTTCTCATGAATGCGCTGAAGTTGCCAAACATGCAACTCGAGGGCACCCACTCACCGCGGATGGGCGAGCCTTTGCATAAAATTTCGACGGAACACCGAGACGTGGTTCACGGCAAGCTGGAAACACAGCAACCGGAGGAGTTCCCTTTCAAGAGTATTCCGTTGCTGCGGAATCACGACATTTTTTGTCAGACAGACTTTGAGAAGGATTGGAATTTTCAGCCTGGTTCGGTATTTGGCTTCGTGAAGTGCGCTTTCAAGTTGGAAGATGGTTGGGAGGAAGAGCACGACAGCGACCAGGAGGACGAGGAACCCTGGGCGGTCCAGCAGCAGCGAGAGGTTGATCCGCAGCTCAAGCGCTCGGTCCACATAAGCAATGAGTTCAATGACAGCGCCTTCGACGAGGAGGCGATGCAGAAAAGGTACAAGGGCGAGGAGGGCGGGGTGCGCGCCATACTCCAGATCGCCCTCGTGAAGGCAGTCTGCGTCTTCTCCAAGAGCTCGGGCAGCGGCTTCGCGAACCCTTACATGGAGATCAATTTGGGCCGCAGGCACCACGTGCAAATGAGGAACATGGCCAAGGACAACACGAACATGCCCGAGTTCTGGCGCGTTGAGTCCCGCCAGATCGAGCTGCCCGAGGACGGCCGTCTCGAGTTGAGCGTCATGGACTTCGAAAGTTTTCCTTACTCCGACACCTTGATCGGTAGCACCGTCATAGATGTCGAGGACAGGTGGTACTCCGCCTTCCGCGATCAAATTAGCGTGCCCACAGAGAAGCGACCTTTGTATTCGGCGGAACATGTGGACAAGGTTCGTGGCAACCTCGAGATGTTCCTCACGATTCATAATAGCTCGTCGGAGGTGAAGCCATTAACACTCCCGAAGCCAGCACCTGTTGAGCTGGAGATCCGTTTCGTCATTTGGACGTGCAGCAAAGTCCGTAACCTACCCGACTATGAGTACGTCAACCCGAAATTGAAGTTTACCCTCGAGTGCGAACAGCGCTTCGGGCCGGAGCCAAAAGAGCAGGAGACAGACGTCCATCAGAATCCTGCCGACGGCAACGCCGTGTTCAATTGGCGTGTGGTTTACAGGAAGATCAGGATGCCGACCGACGAGTGCTCGCTGTCAGTATGGTTGTACCATCATGAGGCTCTTGGTGATTACCCTATTGGGAGCTTGGACCTTGACCTCAAGAAGCATCTAGATAAAGTGCAGAAGGATGGGGATCCCCTGACCACGCTGCCGGTGGACATTCCGTTCCAGGATATGGATACAAGAACAAGTGCCGAAGAGGATGACATCGGTACGATCAACATGGAGATGACCATCATGACCCAAGGCGAAGCAGATGGGCGCAAGGTTGGCCTTGGAAGAGATGAGCCTAACGTAGATCCACAGCTGATAACGCCAGAGGGCCGTGGATGGGACGCTTATTTCTCCACGTTCTCTTTCCCGTGGCCCGATTTCGGATTGTGGAAGAAGGCAATACCGTTCATCTTGGCGGGGTTCAGTTTCCTCTTCATGATGGTCGTGCTGAGGTATCTTGGGATGCTTTGACGACCCTTCGAGAGCACCCACGCCGCTGCGCAGCGTGAGCACCCTACCCCCATCTCTGTCTCTGTCTCTCTCTCTCTCTCTTTCTTCCATACTTCCCTTATCCCTCCTTCTTTTCTTCATCCCTCCCTTTTGTCGTTCCTACCTCCTCCATCCTCCCTGACGTCTGTGGTGCTTGCAGAAAGAACAAGATAAGGGCGAGGCCTGTGTGTCACGCTGATCCGAAATGCAGCGCGACGCGATTCTTTCAGCCAAAGGCTGATAAGGGCGTCTCGCTCTGTCCACTCGGCGTGCGCGCGCTTGGTGCATGGAGCCCTGCACCGCACAGTGACCAGCGACCAGGCAGCTGGACAGCGCATTCTTGCTGCGCAGGTCGCCAGGACAACACGTCCGTCGTGGAAGAAACCGCATGGGTCACTGAGGCTTGCATTCATCGTTGATGCTGTCGCCTTGGATTTCGACGCGAGGGAGCAGTATTCATGTGAGGGGAGGGATATGTGCAGATCTCGCAGTGGATTTCGATGTTTGACTTGCGCCGTGCCAGCGGGGGTCACGATTCGTTGCTTGGCACCACCGGCGTCACCTGGTGGTGTTTTGCAAAGGCGGGGGCGTGAGATGAGAGGTCTTCGCCAGGGCTGGGCTGTACAGTCAAGACGTTGAAATCAGGACCACCTTGGGCTCAGGAGGGGCTGCGATGTTCGGGCCGTTCCCAGGATCTGGGTCGGGGAACCGATTCGTGGCCGAGATTTGCCGTGGCGAGAGAAGCCCCTTCGTTCCTTATTCAGGGTTCCTTCTGGCAGCACGGTGGATGTAGCTGTCGGGGGCAACATGGGGGGGGAGCATCGCTCCCCAATCGCGTATTGATCGCCGATAGTGGTTGCATAGCCCCAACCTGCCCAGGAAGGTGCGGATTCACTATCGGAGGCCTATCGCCGATCTCTCGGCGATGCATCGCGGATTCCAGGTCGATTCATCCGCCCCTATGCCAGTCACCCCCTATCGTTGCCCCTCAAGCTGGGACTTTAGGGACCATGGCCCTCCTCTTGCGAACATCGTCGGTGCTGGCCTTGCTGCCTGGCTCCACATGGGCTGGCGTGCCGGCTGGAGTTGGTGGCGCAGCACTCGAGCTGGCGAGGAGGCCTCTTTGGGGTCTATTGGGGGTCTCTGAGGGTCCTCTTGAGGGGCCCCTGGGGCCTCGTCGGACTTCTGATGGGACCTAGGGAGCTTCTTTGGCCGTCGTAGGGCTTCCCTCGGCCCGTTTGATGCTTTGGGTTGGGGCTTCTTGGAGCCATCCTGGAGGTCTTCAAGGCCCGTCTGGGGTTGTCGGAAGCCAGAAAAGACGAGAACGCGCGAATCATTGAAACAAATCTTCTGACCGGAGGTGAGGTGGTGATATTGCAGTGGAGCGAAGAGCCCCCCATCGGGACATCGGCTTCGGTTTCGTGTTCGTGTCCTGCGTGCGGGCGAGGCGAAGCTGCGTGGGCGCGCGAGAGGAATGATGCCGCTGTGGCTAGGAACTGTGGATCCCGTTGGCCGCCCCACCCCCCTGGCGCGCGGTGGCTGGGGGTATCCCGTCGGTGGCGCGTCGGTGTCCCGTCGGTGTCCCTTCTGTGGCGCGGCGGTGTCCAGTCGGTAGCGCGGCAGTGAGATCGATAGTGAGATCGATTGTGAGATCGATTGTGAGATCGATCGCGAGATCTGCTGTGATATCGATAGTGAAATCTGTTGTGAGATCGTTTGCGAGATCGACGGTGAGATCGCTCGTGAGATCTACAGTGGGATCGACAGTGATATAGATGTTGAGATCGATTGTGAGATCGATTGTGGGGTCGATTGTGAGACCGATAGTGAGATCGATGGTGATACGATTATGATACCGATCGTGAGACCGGTAGTGTGATATGTCGTGGGACCGATAGTGAGTCCGGATGCAAGAACGATCGTGAGTTCGATTGTCAGATCGATGGTGGGATCGATTGGGAGATCGATCGTGAGATTTGTTGTGTGATCGACCGTGGGATCGCTTGTGATATTCATAGTGAGTTCGACTGTCAAATTGATAGTGAGATCTATTGTGAGATCGATAGTGAGATCGGTTGTGAGATCGATTGTGAGATTGAATGTGTGATCGAGTGTTTGATCGATGTGCAATAGATTGAATGAGACGTTGGTTCCCCCTGCTTCCCCAGGAACCTCCATATCACCCGAAGGGTGGTCGTGGGTAAATTGATGAGTTTGGCTTCTCCGGGCTGTCCCAGAGGACCCTTTGCCGCCCTCTCGGGGCATCTTGTGTGCCTCTTGGGCAATCTTGGGGCCAGCTTTGGCTATCTTGGTTGGGTCCATGATTGGCAGTCTTGGGAGCATCTTGGGCCATCTTGGGCTCTCTTGGGCCAATCTTGACTGGCTTGGAGGCGTCTTTTGAACCATCTGGACCGACTTGGGAAGTGAGTTGTGGTCAGCTTGAGCGGGGAAGCCGCTAGGATACTAGATTCTGGAATGTGTGCCAACACTTGCAGCGGGGACGTCTTACAATGACTTTTTTATTGTACACGACCATCGCACACGCCAACTACCTCTGTCCCTACTGGGGGCGTTGGTCCTACTGGCCCTCGGCCCATCCCGACATCGTCCCTGGGTCGTGGATGCCTCTCGCGGGCCTCTTGGAGGACTATTGTCCTCTCGGATCGGTTTGTTATCCATCATCTCGTGTCTTCTTACTCCCCAGAATTTATATATCAGGCACACTTGACCCCCTCTCGCTCTCTGTTCTCTTTTTTTTCCTCTCTCTCTCTCTCTTTCTCTTTCTCCACGGCTCTCTTTCTCTCTCTCTCTCTCTCTTTCTCAGTCTGTTTTTCTGTGTGTCTATCGTTCCCGCTCTCTCTACTCAACGTTACTTCACCTTGAACATGTGCCCTCCTACTCCTCGACCATGTCCTCTCACTCTGCCCGTGCTGCTGATACCCCAGTCGAACAAATCAAGCCAGAACAGGTGCGCGAGAGGGAGATCGCCCTGGTGAAGGAGGAGGTCGAGAAGCCCCAAGTTGGCACCAGCCAGGGGCCTCGAAGGGGGGGTGGGAGGGGTGCGGCCTCCACTTGCCCCTTTCAATTCCGCCTGCATCCTCCCCTCCTCCTCGCCCCTCCTCGTCCTCCTCGCCCCTACGCTATTTCCCTCCTCTTCCTCCCGTCCCTCCGCCTCCCTCACCGTCCACGGGCGTGGGCGCGCGAGGGGGCGGAGAGCAGCAGCAGGGGCCGCGGGGGCGGGAGGAAAGAGCGGGGGAGGAGGGAGAGGGTGGGGCTGGCCGGGGTGGCCCACAGGGCCTCGTTCGCATCTTCAGGCATGATTGCTTTCAGTGCGGGTGAGCGGGCAGGAGGAGGCCCCTGCGACGGAACATCCCCGCACCGATCACTTTGCCTCCAGGCGGGCTGGTGCATGGCCACCTTCCGTGCCAGGAAAGCCCGCGATGGGAGGGGACAGCGGCCGTCAGAAGCGGGATGGAAGCCCCCATCTCACCTGACAGGGGCTTCACCCTGTCCCCCAGCTCCCGCCATCAGAACACTGCAGAACAGCAGTCAGGGAGGGGGACCGACGACCCTCCCTGGGGAATGGAGGGGGGCCCACGCCAGCTTGACACCCGCAGCCCCCAGCAGAGGCCCGCCCACACACGATTTAGTTCCAAGAGCGGCCCCAAAACGAGCAGGAACCCAAGCAGGAGAAACCCGCGGCACGCCTCCATGAGGGCGTCCGCCCTGGACTCCAGGGCGCCCCCGGGAAGCTCTTGGCGGGGCGCCTCCGACAGAAATCGCCGACCCGATGCCCCGCCACGTCCGCAGGACAAACGTGCCAGGTGCCGCGAGGGTCCGAACAAGGTCCTGCCGCGAGAGAAGCGCAGCCAACAGGGAGGGAGGAAGAGATAGAGATCGGACAAGTAGACGGGAGTCCCATCGATAGCTGGCTTCTGCGGTAGGCGCGGCCGCCATCGCATTTTTGGTGGTGGTGCGCACTTTACGGGGAGCGCTAAAACAACCACATCCCATCGCGAAACGACTGAAGCAAGTGATGGGGTGCTGAGCGGGTGATGCGCCACGTCTCTCGGCGCCCCGCGGGGGAAAAGGGCCCTGGTCGGCGAAGCCCCGGTTGGCAGCTTGGGGACAAGGGCTTGACCGCTGAGCGGCTTGCGAACGACAGTGCGTCCCCCATGCCCGGTGCAGCGGGGCCGTCAGAGGTGGTAATTTAGTCGGCTCGCTGTGGGGTCAGACTGTGCGCGCGCGCTGTGTAGTCGGACTGTGGCGTCGGACGGCCGTGGAGCTGCCCTGGTGTGGCTGCGACGGCTGGTCGTACGACTCAGGTCGGTCGGCCAACAGCTCGACCACAGGCCGTTGCAGTGTCGCGGTGCTGTTCGCGGTCGTGCGTCGTCGCGGCGATGGGGCGGCGTCGAGCACGACCTGCTCGGGGCCAACGTCGTCGTTTACATCCCCGTCGCCACCCTCCTGCGAGCGGCACCCCTGCGGCGACGACGCAGTAGCAGAAGCGTCTTTAGTGCAGTCGGACTGTGGGCTGTCGGACAGTGGAGTCGACTGGTACTGGGGTCGGACTGTGGAGTCGGACTGCTGGGGAGTCTGGCTGTGTAGTCGGTCTGCTGCGGAATCGGAGTGCGTGCGCTTAGTGTGGTCGCGCTGTGGAGTTGGACGGCAGTGGAGTCGCCCTGGCGTGGCCGCGGCGGCTGGTCGTGCGATTGAGGTCGGTACCCCAACAGGGTGACCACCGGCCGTTGCAGTGTCGTGGGGCTGTTCGCAAACGCGCGTCGTCGCGGCGGCCTGGGGGGCGGCGTCGCGCGCGACCTGCTCGCGGCCAACGTCTCCGTTTATTGGGTCAGGGGCTGTGACGGACAGACTGGTGGGGAGCAGGTCGGCGTCGCGCCCGCCATTCGACGCGACGATCCAATTCTGATTGGCGTCATCGGTGCGGCCGCGGACGATGCCACGCAGGCCGTTGATAGGATTCTGCCGTTGGCCTTTGACGGTGACCTCCGCGCATATCTGGGTCGTGGCGGCGCGGTGCGCACGGCGCTGGTCTGGAGGCCGTGGCGGTCACCATGCGGCCGAGCGGGGACTCGCAGCGCGGACATGGGCAATGACGGGGGCCGTGCCCAAGATGCCGCGCGCAATGTTGATGCGGGTCATGTTGGGCTGGTGGCGCTGCACCGTGGGGGTGTCGGTCAGGGCCTGGCGGCATCCCCGCGCCCCTGGGATGCGGCGCGGCGGGGTCGCAGCGTTTCGCATTGGGTCGGCGCTGGCCCTGGCCTGGTGGCACGGGCGGCGCGACGGTTGGCGGGGCGCACGGGATAGTTTGCTCGGGTCTGGCCGTGAGGGGGCCCGATATGGTTGACCGGGTATCTTCAGGAAGACTGTGGTGGGTCGTGCGGGCTCACCGCGGTTTGGCAAATCGGCTGAATAGTTGCCGCGTGCTGCTCGTGAGCCTGAGCTGGACTGGGTCGGCCTCGGTCCGCGCGGGACTGTAGCAGAGGTCGTGATGGCGCGCCGTTGTCTGACGGTCTAGGCTTGCCAGTGCGCGCGATATTCGCCGTCCGCTGTCTTGATCGTCGTCGTCGGGGGGAGGAGGCGCCCTCTCGTCGCACCCCCCTTCGGACCGCTGCCGCCAGACGTCGGAGCCGACTTCGTCTTCGTCGTCGTCGACGCTGCCGCAGACGTGAACGTCGTCGTCGTCGCATAGGTCGCCGAGGCGCCCCGCGCTGAGCGGGCGCTCCCACAACGCGAGGCCAATGTCGAGCAGGGCTGGGGCGGCCGCGCGGCTGCGGTTTATGGCGGTGCCGGCGTGGCCCCAGTGCGGGTAGGTCGAGCTGGCGCCGTCGCCGCCTTCGAGGGATTTGCCGCAGGCGGCCTCGCCCTCGTCCGCGCGCGGACCGATGAAGATGAGATCGGGATAACGAGAGAGGAGAGTGAGAGGGAGAGAAAGAGAGGAGAGAGAGAGAGAGAGAGTGCTGCTCGTGAGCCTGAGCTGGACTGGGTCGGCCTCGGTCCGCGCGGGACTGTAGCAGAGGTCGTGATGGCGCGCCGTTGTCTGACGGTCTAGGCTTGCCAGTGCGCGCGATATTCGCCGTCCGCTGTCTTGATCGTCGTCGTCGGGGGGAGGAGGCGCCCTCTCGTCGCACCCCCCTTCGGACCGCTGCCGCCAGACGTCGGAGCCGACTTCGTCTTCGTCGTCGTCGACGCTGCCGCAGACGTGAACGTCGTCGTCGTCGCATAGGTCGCCGAGGCGCCCCGCGCTGAGCGGGCGCTCCCACAACGCGAGGCCAATGTCGAGCAGGGCTGGGGCGGCCGCGCGGCTGCGGTTTATGGCGGTGCCGGCGTGGCCCCAGTGCGGGTAGGTCGAGCTGGCGCCGTCGCCGCCTTCGAGGGATTTGCCGCAGGCGGCCTCGCCCTCGTCCGCGCGCGGACCGATGAAGATGAGATCGGGATAACGAGAGAGGAGAGTGAGAGGGAGAGAAAGAGAGGAGAGAGAGAGAGAGAGAGAGAGAGAGAGAGAGAGATGAGAGGAGAGAGAGAGAGAGAGAGGAAGAGAGAGAGAGAGAGAGAGCGAGAGAGAGAGGAGAGAAGAGAGAGAGAGGAGGAGAGAGAGAGAGAGCGAGAGAGAAAAAAGAGAGAGAGAGAGAGAGAGAGAAGAGCGAAGAGAGAGAGAAGAGAGAGAGAGAGAGAGAGGGAGGAGAGAAGAAAAGAAAGAGAGAGAGAGAAGAAAGAGAGAGAGAGAGAGGAGAGAGAGAGAGAGAGAAAGAACAAAAAAAAGAAATAATTGAGGAGAGACAGAGGAGAACTTATAGAGGAGAAGCGAGATATGAGAGAGAAGGAGAGAGAGAGAGAGGAGAGAGAGAGAGGAGAGAGAGCATAGAGAGCATAAAGAGAGAGAGAGAGAGAGGAGGGAGAGGAGGAGAGAGGGAGAGAGAGAGAGAGATCGGTAGTATCTGCGCGTGGTAAATGAGAATGAAGAGAGAGAGAGAAAAGAGAAGAGAGATAGAGGGAGAGAGAGAGGAGAGAGAGAGAGAGGAGAGAGAGAAGAGAGAGAGAAGAGAGAGAGAGAGATCAGAGAACGAGAGAAGAGAGAGAGGATACAAAGAGAAGGAAGAGAGAGGAGAGAGAGAGAGAGAGAACGAGAGAGAGAGAGAGAGAGAAACAAAGAGGAGAGAGAGAGAGAGATGGATCGAGAGGGAAGCGAGAGAGAGAGAGAGAGAGAGAGAGAGAGAGAGAGGGAGGGAGGGAGGTGGAGGAGGGCCGCGGATGGGCGCGCGCGTGCGCGCGCGACGCGGCCGGGGGGGGGGGGGGGGGGGGGGGAGAAGAGAGAGAGAGAGAGAGAGAGAGAGAGGAGAGAGAGAGAGAGAGAGGAGAGAGAGAGAGAGAGAGAATATTACTATATATATGTATAATATATTATAGGAGAGAGAGAGAGAGAGAGTAGAAGAGGAGAGAGAGAGAGAGCGAGAGAGAGAGAGAGAGAGAAAGGGAGGGGTGGGGAACGGACGAGGCGCGAGCAGACGGGGGGGATGGAAGAACACCTTCCCCATCCCGCCCCAGCCCGACATCCGTGCCCCCCAGCGAAGGCCCGCCCGAATCGGGCCCTGCCGCGGAAGAGGCGCAGCCGAGAGGCCGACTGGGGGGGGGAGAGGAGGGAGAGAGCGTGAAACAGAGAGAGAGAGAGAGAGAGAGATAATGAGAGAGAGAGAGGAGAAGGGTGGTGGGTGGGGGGCGGTGTGTGTGTATGTGTGTGTGTGTATTTGTGTGTGTATGTGTGCGTGGTGGGTGTGTGTGTGTGTGTGTGTGTGGTGTGTGTGTGTGTGTGTGTGTGTGTGTGTGTGTGTGTGTGTGTGTGTGTGTGTGTGTGTGTGGTGTGTGTGTGTGTGTGTGTGTGTGTGTGTGCGTGGGGGGTGGGGTGGGGGTGTGGGGGGGGGGGGGGGGGGGGTGGGGGGCAGTGCTGCCGCGACCGCCTGCTGCCAGAAACCAGCCTCCGCCCTGTCCGCGGCCAGCGCGAACGCGGCGGCCTCCACGTG